CACCTTTGCACTTTTTAGTATTCCTTATTTCTAAAAACAACAACAATAATACCTGCTATAATGATCTAAAGTGTCAAAGTGCCAGGCACATAGGTGGCTCCCGCTCCCCAAAATCCCTCACTCCTTCCAAGTTGAGGAAAGAAATGAGAGGCCACAGAACATTCTCACCAATGCACCTCCTTTCTTTGATGTTGTCTGTGTGAAAGATGCCTGCCCTAGTGAGCTCCCAAATACACCTTTCCAGCAATGTTCCTTAGCTACCTTTGGGCACCCACAGCTCCTCCTTTCCTGGTGAAACCCCGCTTAGAACACAACAGCCCCTTAGAGGAGCCTGAGGTCTGACCTTTTCAGAGTGCAGTCAAGATGTGGAGTAGGTGGAAGCTGCTCTCACCTGCTCCCATGACCACATAACAATTACAACTGAATTATAGAATGATCAACCTTGATAACCATCTCAAGACTAGCTGAGCAAGACCTATAACTAAACATATAAAGAAACCACATGGACTGGTGAGAGGGGCATAGATGTGCACAGGCTGACCCTGCACCCATGTATGGTGATTGAGAATTGGAAGGGATCTGAGCTTCAGCGGTCCCAAAGGAGCAAGGGGTCTCAGCTCCACACCAGAATACCCATGCTAGAAAAAGAGGCCCACATAACATCTGGCTATGAAAAAGCATGGATTCTGTCTGTCTGCATGAGAGGGAAGGCTGCTGGAAACTCAGGTACTCTCTTAAAGGTCCAACACACAAGCTCTCATCCCTAGCACTCACCTTGGGTTCCATATGAGGGTCAGAGGTTTGAGGGGCACCGCAGACATACAGGGAGAAACTGAGTTGTTGGCTTTGAGGCGAGGTCCCGCAGGGCAGCCACAATTGTCCCTTGGTAAGCCCTCCCCACCACACAACGGAACATTAATCTGGGTTAGTCTAGTGAACTTCACCTAATGGCTCAGAGGCCCCACTTTACCCAACTCAACTTGATGCCCTACCAAGCTCAGGTGATCAGGGAGACTGGGCTTCTGGGCTCCACAGGCTACCTACCACAGAGGGCTACCCTCACAAGACTGGGAGTCATAGCAGATTTACCTAAAACATAGAAACAAACACAGAGAGGCAAAGAAACATGCCCCAAATTAGAGAACAGGAGAAATCTCCAAAAAATGAGCTAAATCTAATGGAGGCAAGCAATCTACCAGATACAGAGGTCAAAATAATGGTTTTAAAAATGCTCAGGGAACTTAGGGGAAGAATAGATCAACTCAGTGAGAAGTTCAACAGAAATAGTAAGTATAAAGTAGACATAAAACCATAAAAATAAGGCCCGGGGGAGCAGCCGGGGCTGGTGCGACCAGGCCCGGAGCAGCGGCTGCCAGGCTGGGAGCGGTCAGGCCCGGGGGAGCAGCAGCCAAGTCCAGAGCAACTAGGTCGGGAGCGGCAGTGACCAGACCCGGAGCAGCTGGTTGTGGAATGAACCAGAGCAACAGAGGCCAGGCCCTGAGCAGCCAGGCCCAGAACAGCTCGCTCCTTGCCTGCCCCTGCCCCACGGCTGCTTCTCAGACATGGCTGGAAACTTTTGTGGGAACTTGAGGGTCTGCTGAATCAAGTGATGAAGGCTTAGATCTGGATGTGTTGAGTTAGTTTAGGACTGGGGTGTTGATCTGTGAGTGCCTTGGGTGGGGCCTGGATGAGGCTGGTGGACCTATTGGGAAATGTCTTTTGTGTGAAGTGTATCATTGGGCATGTGGAGGTATTATTGATATGAGAAAATGCTAAGTAACTGATTTACTATCTGAAAAGGGATTTACTATTGGGGAAATTGAGGGAAGAAGAGACTGAACATAAACTGCACCTATGGATGAGGACAATGGGGGATGGGGAGGGGGCAGAGGGTGGGGTGGGAACCTGGTGGAGGGGGGAAGAAATGAGGAACCTTTGTAATAATATGAACAATAAAGATTGATTTAAAAAAAAAATAACTAGTCAGAAAAAAGAAGAGTAACTGAAATGAATGAATCAACAGCACATTAGATGAAACAGTGGATGGAATCAGTGATTTTGGAAACAGGGTTGCAGAAGATATCCAATCAGAAAAGCAAAAAGAAAAAAATATTATCCCAAAGATCTCTGGGATAATAGCAAGCATAATATTGCATCATAGGGGTACCAGAAGGAGAAAAGAACAAGGGTTATTTATAATAGCCAAGATATGGAAGCAACCCAAGTGCCTATCAATAGATGAGTGGATAAAGATGTAGTACATATATACAACGGAATATTACTTGGCCATAAAAAAGAATGAGACTTTTCCATTTGCAACAACATGGTTGGACTTAGAGGGTAGTATGCTGAGATAAGTCAGACATAGAAAGACCAAAACCATATGATTTCATTTATGTGGGATAAAAACAAACAAAACAGAAAGACTCACATATATGGAGAACAGCTTGAGGGTTGCCAGTTGGGGGGCTGATGAAAAGGTGAGGTTTGATAGTTACAGGTTTGTTTTGATAGTTACAAAACAGTCATGGGGATGTAAAGTACAGCATAGGGAATATATTCAACAATATTTAATAACTACACATGGTGTCAGGTTGTACTTGAATTATCGCAGGGATCACTTTGTAAATTGTGTAATTGTCTATTTACTATGCTGTACTCCTGAAACTAATCCTATATAATAAAAGCCTATGATGAATACTGACCACCAGGGGGCAGATGCTCAATGCAGGAGCTGCCCCCAGCCCTCAACCAGAGTGGGGGAGGGGGGGCGCACAAGGGCGAGGCCATCAAGTGGACAGAGCCAGGCCTGCCAAGGCTGGTGCTAGGTGGGTGAAGAGGTACCCCAGTTGCCCTGCTGGTGACCCCACAGATTGGCCCTGATCACCGGCCAGGCCTAGGGACTCCACCCCTGGACAAATTTCATGTACCAGGCCTCTAGTATAAAATACTGCATGGCAACTGTAATTGGGGGAGGAAAAAAAAAAGAGTCTGAGATGAGAGCTTGGCAAACAGGTTTTCAGAGATAAAGAACAGCTTAAACATTTGTACCCATATGATGGCCACCGTATTCCCCACTGAAAGAATCAGGAGGTGGTGCCTTGAGTTAAGGCAAGCCCATTCACAGAGGGGCCTGCTATTTCCCCTCCTCTTACCCACATACCCAAGGCAAACATCCCTCAAACATTCCAACTCCTTAATTAGTTGTGTTATGAGCTTTTATTTAAAAAGCACATTTAATACAAGTATAGTTTTGCAGATACAAGTTTTCACTTTGTATTCTACAAAAGTCTTTGAATATTATTCTCTTTACAAAATGGAACCTTACAAAAATACTGACAATTTAATGTTTTTATACAATTTTCTCTAATTGCAGTTATTTCTTTTATTGTAAAACAATGTCTACCACAGAACTACAATATTTTAGTTGATATTAAAAAATTAACTCAATGCTTTTTTAAGCAGCTAATGAAATAACACAGGTCAAGACACAGTTTATAATCATAGTGGATATAGCTAACATTGTTTCAGAAATAATATTTTACATAGTTAACTTTTAATGTTTTATACATTATTTATATAATATTTATATATAAAAATCATAGCTTGCTATATGTTGAAATGACAGGACGGCTTCTGTGGTAAAGATGTGCTTGTGGTTGATCTGTGTGGTTACATTTAGCCCGGTGTGCATCCGAGATCTGAAAGCATTTCTTCCTTCCTCCTTTCTTCAAAGGTCAGTAGAAGGGGTCCTGCCTACTGCCTAGAGTGGACCTCGCCTGGGAGGACGGATACAGGATGAAAACTGTCTACGGAGATTTAACCCATATATTCTGCCCAGCAGAACCTACCAAGATCTGCCCTAGAGATCAACCCCAAGACAATAGTGCTTTACACAACTTAGCAAGAGCGACTTCCTCAGAAACCCTCATCAGCTCCTTATCTGGAAGGGCAACCTCTCAGGCATGAGACTGCCTGCTACTCTGGCTCATCATGACTTTGAGTAGCCAAAAGGTTGATTCATTTTTCATTCTTGCCCCTTCACTCCCCCATCTTGTGTACAGAAGGCTGCTTTTCATCAGCCGGTGGCAGACCACGCCTTGGCTCATCTCCGGACCCTCACAGGAAATCCCGATGAGCACTGAGCAAGGATTTCAAGGGGGAAAGCAGTAACCAAAGCTAACCATGACTAAGAGTGTGCAAGTGCCCAGGTGATTGATACACATCAGCATCCTGCAATCTATGTTTCAACATCACAGGATGATGTGTCCAAAGAAGACAAATGAGAGCCTGGACCCTCTATCTCTTCTGAAATTGTGCTATTTGTGAAATTCACTCATCCACAAAGAGTCTCCTAATCACTAACGTGAGGGACCATGGTGTTGGCCAATGGGCCAGGAAGTGAGTGATAAGGCTTTAGGTGTAGGAATCTGAATTCAGGATCTGATCGTTGGATGAAGCATCTGCTCTTTCTCTGTATTAAACCACAACAAAACTTAAAAACAAGAACTTCCTGAACTCAAGTCACAGTAGAAGATAGAGTGGTGTGGACAGAGAGACACAAGAGGGGAGCCTCCCCCTTCTTCCCTTGCATGGGTATTTTCTTTCTTCAGTGCTACTTCTGGCATCACGTGCTACAATGTGAATTTGAGCTTTTCTCACAAGCCTAGGACACATCTCAGGTCACAAAGGTGACCGGCAGACTCTACTCAAAACCTTTTAGTGTTTGTTCCAGAACAAGCCCGTGTTCACTAGAACATGAACACTTCAACCAATTGCACATCCAGGATTCTGGCACTTGGTATTAGTTTGCTGTTGTCTCCGCATAGGTGAACACTACCTATTTTGGAAGGCCACAAAATAAGACTTTTTTTTTCCTTTTTAAAATCAGTCGGGTAAAAAGTTTTTCCCTACATTCTACTGTCTGATGAGATTGGAGAGCAGCAAGATCTTGCTGTCAGCAGTCATTTAGTAAGAACAGCTCAGGAGGCGGGCGGTGCCTACACCATGTTGTGGTGATTGTTCCTGTCGATAATGTCCACAGGTGAGAGGATCTCCTTCCTGATGGGGGGAGATAGGGAGAGTGCCGTCTTGGTCTTGAAGAGGTCAGACACGAAGAAAACCTGGAAGGACACATCAGAGATCCAAGTCAGAAAATGACATCTGGGGTCTGAGGACAACAAAGGGAAGGTGGTAAGAGCATGGACTTCATGACAAAGGGGGTCACAACCCATAGATCTTTGGGTAGGGAAGGACCCTAAAGGGCATGCAGTCCAACTCTTACTGCACAGACAGGGGAACCGAGGCCCAGGAAAGGGCCATGGCGTGCCCCCAGGTTGCACAGCCATGGCAGGAATAGTGCTCAGTTCTGGGGACTCCCAGTCCATTGCTGTGAGTCTTCAATCCCCACTCCCTTATTTCTCAAGGCAAATGAACAGCAATGAAAGATAAGTTCCTAAACAAAGGAAGCAGGTCCAAATGGGTCTGTCATTAATCCATGATCATTTCCCTTTCCTCACAAAGGATTCGAGGGTGTAACCAAAGAGATCGGCCCCTATGAATGCCTATCAGCAGGAGCTGGAGTAAGGAAGTCCTGTGACCACTTTTCCTGAAAGCCCAGTGATATCAGTCTAATGGGGGTCAAGAAGCTGGGGTTTGTTGCTGAGGGAGACAGCATCTAACCCAGAGGAAAGGTCAATGAAAACCCACCTATCGCCCTGCTCAGGTCCTTCCTCCCTCTGAGCACCAACCTCCCCAGGTCTCTGTGAATCTCTGGGAGACATTTACTGAACACCCACCAGCAAGGGGGTCAGGATGGTGCAGGTGTAGTTCCTGTCTCAATTAGCTTCCGATGAAAGATTCAAGAATTTGGTGAGTTACTGGGGTAAGAAAAATTTATGTTTTGTATTAGATGGCAAAGTAAACACAGACATCCATTTGAGCCATTTAGCAACAGGCGTTTGTATTAAGTCACCATAAGCCGCACCTATCGGTCATGCCATGTAATAGGAAACATATGGCTGGGCTTCAAAACGGGGAATGAAACACTTTCACAGTTCCTCTGTCTAATGGCTTTCTGGATGGAAAAGTCTTTGTCCTGCAGAGGGTAATGTTCTCACTATTAATGATGGCACTGTGACTCATTCCGGACACATTCTGGGCAAGAAAATAAAGTTCTTCATAAAACCTCACCAACGTCACGGCTCTCCCAGCCAGCAACTGGCCACACGAAGGACTTGGGTCATTTGTGGATCTAATTGCCACAATGTCCCTTCTGTAGTAATGCGACAATTAGCAAAGTGCTACAAAAATCACAGCAAGAAACTGGTGACGCGGACTACTCCAGGAGGACTGGGTGACTAGAAGACAGACTTGCCGGTTACCACAAAACCCTTTACTTCCTTTGAATTTTGGACCCATTACATGAGTTTTCCCCATATATTTGTGAAAAGAAAAAAGTCCGGGCTTTCTATGCTACTAGAAGGAGGTAAAATAGCCTAAAAATGTAAGGTTTTAATACATTCACAGCCTCAGTGCTCCTGAATGTACCACTGTGCAAAATAAAAAATTCAGCTTTGTGTCCCTGTCCTTTCTAAGGGACATGGAGAACTGTGGCCCAGAAAAGTTTGTCCCCCAGCCAGAGCCACACCTGAAGCAAGAATGAAACAGTCAGCTCAGCCAGGAGGCTCTAGACTCCTGTTCAGGGACCTGCACAAGTGCTCAGACAGAGGAGCTTTACCTGCTCACAAGAAAATACTAGTGAAAGTGATTTAAGTTAAATGTGGAAATACATTCTCTAGCTCTCCTCTGACAGGTACAGAGCCCATGTCCTCACCTCTGCCTGGAAACCACCTTTCCCTCCCTCCTTCACTGTGTCCCAGAGGAAGGTTTCAATCAATCTCTCCATTGCTAGCTTCCAACTCCACTTCTTCCAGCATAGCAGCTAGCTCTACCAAATAAGGCTCTGTTCACGCCCATTTCTGAGTGGTCTCTCCCCAGCCTCCATCCAGTCTGCTGAGGGCAAATACAGCAGAGGACAGTCCCTCCACCCCCAAATATAACAGCTCTTCCCCCTTCAAGATCCTGACACCACTTTAAGCCACTGGCTTATTTCCCAATTTAATTTTCTGAGCACATATCCACCGCCTACTGGGGCTTCCATTTCCTAACTGCAAGATAGGAATAATATGAAGGTTAAGGGCAACATTGTGCTGAGAAGGCCTAGACCTAGGCCTGGTATACAGAGTTCAATCAAAAGTGCTCATTTCTTAATTCCCAAAGTAACGACTGAGCCCAAACTTTGCTGCTCAGCCTTTCTTCCTAGATGGGAGGCTTCTTGAGAATGAGCCTTTGGCGTACTCCTCCTGTATCACCTACAGAGCTCAGCATTAAGCCTAGCACACAGCAGGGGCTCAACAAATGTTTGTTGTTAAATTTCTAAACTCCTCTCTACTGGAGCAAACACTCTGGCCTTGGATCCTATCAGCACACAAAACGCCTATGGACTTGAGGGGAATCACAATCTCACACGCCACATGCACACAGCCAAGCGGCAAGATGAAGAGTGGAGTCTGGTCCAGCAGAATCCCTACCCCCCACCCCTCACTCCCCTGAAGCAGTATTTCACGTTCAGCCTGGCTTGAGGTTATACAAACACTTTTTTTGGGATCCTGAAACATGATCCTGTCAAGACTCAAATAGGGCTCAGTCTTCCTAATGCTTGGACAGCAGAACACAAAAAGGACCTGTAAGAACGAAAGTGTCTCGGCTTGGAGCCGTTCCATTTCCTGCAGAAGACCATCTCCACCCAGAAAGAAAACCCAGAGGCCCAGGCTGGGGAGGGTCTATATAAAGTAGGTAGTTCTCTTAGGCTCCCAGCCCACAGATCTCCCGTGGAAGAAAGAACACATCACACAATACACAATCTCAGCAAACATAAAATCTATATCCGAAGCACCAAGAATAGTTCTAAGTTAAACTGCTCCAATAGATGCTTTCAATTCCATCCCTCCTTTTGTTTGCATTTTATAAATTGCTTTCTTGCAAAATGCAATCGGTACTGGTAAACACTTATTGAACATTCACTCTGTGCCAAGTCCTGAGATTATAAGATTAAATATACATAACACAGTGTCCTTTGCCCTCCGAGAGCTCACAGGGCAATGAGGGAGAGATCTAGGTAAACAGACCCCTATGATTGCGCTGTTGTAAGGATTACGATAGGGGAAGCCAGGGTGTTAGAGAAGCACAGAGAATGTGGCATCTAACCCAGGCTGATTGGGAGGCAAGGGCCTTAGGAGGCTTTCCCAGGAGGAGGTATAGTTGAGCTTAGCTTTGAAGGATAAGTAGGAGTTAGCCAGGTGGTGACTGACAGGAATGTTGTTCTAGGCACAGGGAGCCCTGTGCGCAGAGGCTCGACAGCGAGTACAGCACGTTCGGGAGCTGCGGGAAGCTCAGCATGGCCAGCATCAAGTAGTCGACAAGGCTGGAGAGGAGACGGCCAAGTCTTCAACAGCCTTCTAGGACAAAGAGGGAACTCTGACCTTACCCTCTTGGCCTTTGGAGCCATTGTCAAGGCTGAATTAGGGGAGCAGTGTGTTGGGATGACTTGCACTAAAATTATGATGGTGAAATCTAAGATGGAGAAGGAGTTAGAAAGAGAGTGTGAAGGCAAAGGCACCAGTCTAGACATTATTGCAGAACCTAGGAGAGGATGAGTCTTGGAACTACAACCATGCAGTGCAGACAAAGAGGAAGAGATGAGTGTGTGTGTGTGTGTGTGTGTGTTTAATATATTTTTAGTGATTTCAGAGAGGAAAGGAGAGAGAGATAGAAACATCAGTGATAAGAATCATTGATCAGCTGCCACCTGCACATCCCCCACTGGGGATCAAGCCCACAACCCAGACATGTGTCCTGAACAGGAATCAAGCCATGACCTTTGGATTCAGTTTGATGCTCTATACACTGAGCCTTACCGACTGGGCAAGAATGGTTTTTGAAATGCTGAGACATAGCTGCAGTGGGTGGAGGGGTGTGCTTGTTTGCAGGGGGAGCTAATCCTTTTCTCTCCATTTCTATTTCCACCTCTAGAAATCTTTGCACTTGTTCCCATCAATCTTAAAGGTTGGGTAATTATGCTTGCGAAAAAGTTTCCATCTCTGCTTTCCTCTGCATTTTAATATTTGGGCTCCTTCTGATACTGACTTGGGGAAGTGGTTCCACCCTCCTTGTAGGTTGGAACAGTAGGCTGTTCTGAGATCAGATTTACTCAGGCAGCACAGGTAGTCTTTCCACCAAGAGCAAGACCACACAGATAAGGAGGGGTCCCGTTCACTGTGATGAGGAACTGGGAAATGGAGTGTCCTTGCCAATGACGCCTATTGGTATGATACCATCGGTCACTGCCTCCCACTTCCCACCCAACACGCACAGCCCTACTCAAAGCTTTGCCCTATGGAGTGGGACAGACTTGCCTTCCAATCTAGGTTCTGCCATATTCAGCAAAACGCCTAAATGAGGGATACATTCCCTACCTTAGAGGTTTACTCTAAGGATTACATGACATAAAAGGCACAAGTGTGGTACAGTGCCTGGTGCTTAGTAAAAATTAATAAAAGGGAGCTATTTCATGAGGCCTTGTGTGTTCAGTACCTACCTGCACAAAGTCACTTCTCTTCCTTTCTCCTAAGTGTGGAAAGAAGAGAAAGGACTAGAAAGGAGAAAATAGGAATGATTGAGAATATGAATGAACACATGAAAGCCTGTACAGATTCAAACTGGCCATGAAGATCACCTGCAGATGAGCATTTTCCAGGGGACAGAAAGGACTCTCTCTCAAAGTCCTATCATTTCTGGGCCTATTCTAGAGAATGAGTCAGCACAGTCAAAAAGGAAAAAGCTCCGATGTCTTGTTGCCGCATTCACCCACTGTGGTGATGCCAACCACAGCCAGGTCCCTCACAGCCCAGCCCTGCCAGGGTGTTGCTGGCTGGGGCTCCCAAAGACCAAGCTGCCAGAAACAAGAAGTCCATAGTAGCCAGGTTTCCATGCCCATTACTGTGAATGGCCAGGTCAGCAATTTCTGAGGGTCATTTTAAGGCCAGATTATGACAGCAAAATT